GATACAAGGGACAGTAATGAAGGCCATACTTGATGCGGTAGGGGAGAATGTAACATTAAGCCGTTAGTCAAGGCTCCTGTAGTGAGAGGAAAAACTGGAGAAAATATATTTCGCTGCTGACTACATCTACCGACTTGAGATGAAAATTTCCCCATGACAATGTCGTGCAGATCATTCGTCATCTCCCGGGGTGTCAGTGAACAATGCAACCGGTTAAAATTACGCATTCCAATTTCGTGGGGGATTCCCCGGGAGGTTTAAACCTTCCAGGGGCGTACGTTATTCCGTTTCTCCAATAAATGTCCAACTACTCCTTTATCGAAATGCATGGAGACACTAGACTTTATCGTATGTATCACTGGTCAATAGATGTCGGGGAAAAAGAGGAGACTTTTTTTTCTCTAGCTATGGTTTGCCTTTGGGCTGAAATCTATTCGGTTGAATTTCAATATTTTTTCGTTCAATCCTGGAGAATTACTTGAAAATGAATTCCTGGCCAAAATAATTATCTCTCAGTTTCTCCATTTGCGAGATAATATTCCCTTTTATTTCATGTTCAATATTTTCAGATAGACCAACTGCAGAAGCTCGAGTAACAAGAATATGGAGTAAAAGCTATAATACTTATACACTCAGTAGAGATGATTCATAATCAGCGGAGCCCAATATTTTACGAGAATTCTCTGAATCCGAGCTGAAAGATCGCCAGGATAGATAAAACACTGTGAAAGAGGAGACACGCAAAGTCGTTCGAGAATCGTTTTGCGCGGGTAAGAAGAGGCTTATATGCATACCTACACATTCTCTGGACGTTACAGTCGCAAAACTTATAGAAAAACGAGTTAAAAAGCCCTCTCAGAAAAGCCAGTTGGATTAAATTCGAGTTGGAGATCTGAGTCATTTCTTACATCACGAGAGTGTACGACAAAAAATACCTACTATGTCTCCAGCATAATGTATTATAATACCATTAGATCTCCTTCCAGTTCCAAAGCCACGAGAAAAGCACGAAGAAAACGAGAAAAGTACAAATACACCGAATTCGGAGGTAGCGAATATAAACAAGATTTCACTGGCTCACTCTTTAATTCCCGGTAATCGGATATTTTTCGAGTCAGCTTCTACGCATTTTGTTTATCCCCCGTTAATCCTGCGAAAACCATTGGGAATTTAAATATCCAGGGATTACTCGGAGAGTGCGACAAAAAAAAATTAATGGATGTCTAACACTCGGTCACGGGGATAAAATCAATAACAGCTGTTCTAAATTTTCTCAACCATAAATATCCGCAGACAAGAGAAAAAAATTTACAAATTTATCAAGCGAGATGATGGAGGACTGTTCCATTTGGGAAAAAGGAAGAGGTGAATTGCTCCGAGTCGGAATGAGACTGAAAAAAATAAAATAAAATAAACCTAAGACAAACAACGAGACGGTGCAGCAACGGACTCAGAAGAAGTCCATATCGAGGAAGATTGCTATGAAAGAAAAAGTTGGGAGGCGAATCGCTCGCAAGCTCTCCCTTTTCCTTCCAGGGATGGAGATAAAACTGTTGGAAAGAGGGAAGCCTTTCTACCGTAGAATATCCAAGATATAAAAAGATAACAGGAAAAGATCCACGAGCTCACGGGATCTTCTGTACTTGTTGGTAGGTGTCTCCACGCTTCAACAAAGTCAGCCACTGCCTTTTCGTTCTCCTTTCCATCCACCTTGAATCACGAGGGTAAAAACTTTGGGCCTTGGCTTTCATAACTCCCTGCTTTATTGGATGCTAAGCAGAAACTGGGGAGAATAACTCTCGGTGTGCTAAAACAACCGAGAACAAACGAGATTCAGTGGAGATAGTGAGTACCACTTTTCCAGTGGTATAAATCACTGAAAAATGCGACTCGGGATAGATAATACGAGATCAATCAGCGGATTCAAAGGACCTCCAGATGCCGAATGTTTGAACCTTGATGGCAAGCAATTCAAGGAAAAAGAGTAGAAGGAAGATGGTTTTCTCTATAGAATTTCAAACTGAAGATGAAAATAGAAAAAACGAGATCTAATGAAATAATAAATAATTCACATAAAATGGTACGGCATTGATGGGCAAGAAGTCGGAGATTTGGGTAAATTTAAAATCCCTCTGACCTTTAATCTTCAACCCTTCACCTCCGACCCTCAACTCCTGAACCGGCTAACCTAACCTCGGCAAAGTTTTTTTCTGATGAAGTTTCGTGGGGAAATTCGCACATGGGGCTTATATTTAATACCCAAAATGCCTTAGATAAAATTACGGACGCTGCTGGAGTTATCACTAATTTTCTCATAAATTTTTGGAACCTAGATGACAAAAATTACGATTCTCCACCAGATTTATGTGGTTGGAGGATTTCACAGCATTGCGTCATACTCAGTATCCCTGAATCCCCGAGGCAGTAAATTTTATCAGTCGATACACCAGATTTATTCAGCAGCACCTAAATTTTAACGACAATCTGACATTAAACACTCTACCCGAAGAGAAAAACTTGCCTGATGTTAAAATACAAGTTTTCCAGTTAAGAATAAGTTTTCCAGACTAAAAATCTCATTTTTTTAATCTAAAAACTTATCTCTAACATGAAGATAGTTTTCTTCTCGGCATTCTGAGCAGCTTCGCCATTATTTCTCCCGATATTGTTTGTAATAATATATTATATTTTTTACAACACGCTGTAACCGTCAGTTTTCGCCATGGAACTAATAAGAACCTAATACTCTCATTGGATTATCTTTTGTTGTTATTTCTCATTACTTACTCCCTTCATCACACTGACGTCAGGCATTATACTATGCCCCGTCCATTTAGCTCGAGTAATCATCAGGGGTCAACGGGTAATCGACTTCTCTCATCAGTTCACCTTCTTCCCATCACTCGTTCAACGATGATTCAGGCTTTCAGACAACAAAGCTCAAGGCCTCTCCCGCACATTTGCACGCACTCATGTGCATTATCGTGGAAATATTCCCGAGAAGAGAATGGAAAAAGACATCTGTACTTTGGATAGTACGAGAAAATTTCACATTCACTCACCCCAGACTGAGATAATAATAACGAGCCGGATGAAAGAATATTCCTCACTTAATCGAATGTGCGAATCAAAGAAGAGCGTCGAACAAAGCATTCTTGTGACAAAAGAAAAAAAAATTCATGACTCCTCCATTCCCCTCATCCAGACAGAATGGAGGTAAGAGGGGAAATGAAACAAATAGAAGTGAAGGTGACAAAAGCAATTCACTTATATACTAGGTTCATGCGAGTGTAGACCAAAGGCAATGAGGATGGAATGACAGAGAGCACAAGAGAATGGAGAAACTGGGTGTATGCATCAAGCATTAAAAAAAATGAACGGGTGCTAGACAGAGGGCGAGGAAAAAGGGGTAGAAGAGGAGAATATAGCTGAGAAGAGCATGGGGGATAAAAAGAGAACGAAAAAAAAAAATGCGGAGAATAACGACGAGTGGAATATCTATATGTGAAAAGGTTGGAAGGTATGGACGACTTCCATTTTTGTCTTGCCATGTGTACGGTGTTTTTGTTCTTTCTCCAGTGCTGGGATACTCTGGGGAGGTTGGAGATGGCAGAGGGGCAGAATTCTGACAAGTATTCGAGCACGTACCATTGCCACTCTCAAGAGGTAAAGGACTATATCAGCCAACTGGTCAATGGGCGTCTTGTCAAGGCCACGTGTTTACTTCTATCCCTCCTTGACACTTTTTCAGAATTAGTAAGAGAAAAGAATTCACTTCTATTTTCAGTGACTCTCTCTTTTTTTTTTCTATCTCGTCTTTCACCAATTTCACTCATTCAAGAGGGCTGAATAAAAAAGAAAACTCACAACCTGTAAAAGTGACAATCAAGCAGAGTGTCAAGTCGCGCAACGTATTAATTCAGCTAAAAGCATGTCGACTGGTGAGGGAATTCTGAGATAGGGTTAAACCGACCAGCTATTTGGACGTAGATGGCAAGGTGAAATGTGAGTGTGGCGTGGAAGAAAGTTGCTGAAACTTGGAAAACCAAATTATGGAAAAGGGGTTGAAGATTTCACCCTTTCCCTTCTCTAAATGGCAAAGACACGGAATTCGATATTAAAACGAGACGCGAGAGAATCAGTTGCGCTTAATGCAGCGTGTACTTAAAGCTAATTGGAATAAGAGTCTCGTTAATGTTCCAAGGGTAAGCTATACAAAGGAAAAGTAAAGATAGTAAAATGAGAGAGGATGGGCGCAACGTCTAGTGAAAAGTTTTGGAGAAACTCTTTGCGCAAGTCTACAACACGCGATTTCTACCCCAGCACACGAGTTGAGCTCGTTTTCATTTTATTTTCCTTTCCATGCACTAGTTTCTCTCCCTCTATTTATTCGGCCATTTTCATGTGTTTCCTCTAATTTATTCATATCATTTCCATCTCATCGGACTTTCGTTGCGCTTTATTTCTACAGGGTGGAGTAGTTTTTAGCGAGGGAATCGATTACGCCCCGACATTTTCCTTGAGAGTAGTGAGGATTGTACGGAACGAGGCTCTGGCCAACCCGGTGCCGTTCGAGGAAAATAATTTTCTAGGTGCAATGAACCAACCCGCGACAGCAGAGGTGTTCTGGCATTCATAGGTAGGCTTTAGGAAATGAAATATTGATTTTTCCTGATTGACTGGAGGTTCTCTTGGAAATTTCTTACGACAGATAATTGCAACTGGAATTCGATGTCCTTTCGCGAATACATAACTTTCCAGAAAGAGCCAATATCACATTAAAAGGTAAAATTTTCGTTTAACGAGTTGCACCAAGTGCCGACATTCTACTGAATTAATATCAACGTGAAATTTCAAGTCTTTGATCACGGGTGCGTACGTAGTACGTGTTCGCGTTAAAATCACAAGGGCATGTATCATAAAATTCATGTGGGAAAGAGTATATACACGTGATGTGAATGAATATCGCCCGTTGAATTGATTAATGAAAGAGAACTTACCCTCAAGTTCGACGACCTTTCCTGCCCGTTTGAGTGCTTTAACAGCTTCGTCGTGTGTTGCCTCGCAAAGATCTTCACCGTTGACAGCGAGAATAGCATCACCAACGTAGAGTTGTTCAGTAGCATCAGCTGCCATGCCCTTGAATATCTTGGATATTAGTATTGGCATTTTATTCTCCTTGCCGCCCTTTATCGATATGCCGAGACCATTGTTGTCACTCTTGACGACTCTAACAATGCGTTTTTGATTAGCCACTGAGTCTGGCACATCTGGATCGTTGAGACTGTCGATGTTGTTGTTGTTGATGTTACCGTTGAGAGGTCCACCATTTCCAGTCAGTATATTCTCACAACTCTCGTCCAACGATATACTGAGATAGTCGTCCTCGAGGGATACGAAGACACGATACCATTGACCCCGCACTTGAGTCTCAAGTACACCAGCGCGACCGGATGTTGATGAGGAAGCGGCTGTTGACGATGACGATGAGGACAATGTTGGTGCTGATGTTAAGCTTGACATTCCACTTGTATTCATCTGCCCAACCTGCATAACGCCAGGCTGACCACTTCCGCTCAACTCAACCATTTCTATTTCCTCGCAGGCTGCCCGCTGAAATTGTAACATAATAATACATTATAATTATTGCATATTCTTATCCTCTCTCATCCTCATAAACAATTCCAACTGATTACCCAATCGTCATTCTAGATTATATCCTTCATATACAACTCGGGATTTTTATGGGAGAGATCATTAGTCTCTCTGGGACAAACTGAATTGTCCCATTACGTCTTATTATTCAAATTGAAGATTAAACTAGATTGAATTTTCAATAGCTTGATCATTCATGAGAATAATAATCCAAATTTTCAGTAGAATTGATTTTTTGTTAATAATAATACGGAGAATAACTAAAGGTTCTTTGTCATGAGGTGAGGACAATCTTTTGATTATTCGACTGGTATCGAGTTAGCTGAAGCAGATCTTAAAGTACGAATCTTTCATAAGATATTAATAAAGAAAAGTAGTCGGGAACTATAATTCAGTACGCTGTGCAATTTCCTTCATAGCCTATTTCCATTAGCTCTCCTTTTGGTACATTTTCGTGAACTCTGTTGAGTATTTTTCATCTTGCGGGCTTTTACTTCAATATTTTTATGGTTTCCATATTTTTCCGGAGACAAATGGAATTTTTTGTTACAATGGAAATGCAGATGTTACTAATTTCCATTGTATAGTTTTGGTTGTTGCATAAATAAAATAAATTGCCTTGATGAAAAGCCCTACTGAGTTGAGGAGAGAAACGAGTAAGAGGTTGGAGATTTTTTATTGGTAAAAATGAATAAACGAAATGACAATTGTATGTTTTTATCCGCCTGGCTCTCCTTATTTCCCTCTAGGCTCGAGTTTCGTGATACATTCGAGGAGAATTGTGCACCGATGAAAATCGATAGGCAACACGAGCCGGCTAATGTCTTTTCGATGTGATTGTTATGCAATTTCGCTATGGAGAGGAAACTGTGCAGTCGGGGGAAATTCAATCTCTGACAACTTGCATCGTATATCAGCATCGTTGGACTAGAAATCCAATTCTTTCGTGAATTCCTCAGAGGCGAAAAGGACACAGTTTGCACCGAGAATCGAGCAATCAACCGATCCATTTCAATATCCCATTAACAATAATTCTGCCGACAATGAACTTTACATAATTCTCCAATGCAATAGCAACGGAAAAATTAAATACATTTCATAATTAAAAAATGAATCCGTACACAATATGTACTGAATAATAATCCAGAGATTATTACCGTCGATGGGATGCACAATGGACTTTGCAGATGGGAATGAAAATGAAGAAGAGAGTAATTTTCACTGTTAACGAGCCGCAGGGTATTTGCTGTTCCGGCCGTGTAAACAAAATTGACATGCCCTCAGTGCGTCGATCGGTCAGAGGGATCACAAAACACCGGAAAATTGCCCAAGGGAGCACAGGTCAACTAGGGAAATTTTTGATGGAAACATTTCGCCCATAACAGTTCATAAACCAAAAATGACAGATTCACCATTGAAATCCCACATACTTTCCGCAATAAATAAATAAAAATAGATAAAAAATCGAGTCAGGATTTGGGCGGTCCTCCAAACTACATACTTATCGTCCTTCATCATTTTTAATCGTCTAAATCTACTCAATATTCCTCTTTGTGTGAGAATTTTATCTAGTTGGTGTATTCACACCATTCCCTCGGTGAATTTACATAGAACCTATCCTTTACCCACAACTCTCACTCCGTATAGAGACGATTCGCTCGAGTTTCACGAGATGGAAAGGGAGGAGATTCGCCATGCGTATCCGAGGCTGACGCTCCCGAAACATTTTTTTCCCCCAATTTCACGAACCGCTTCATCCCCTGATACACACTATTCAAAAAAAAAAACCCTCTGCTTTTACCCCATACCCTCTTAATTTACCTCCAGCGCGAGAGCGTTCGTACAATTTATTTCAACCCCCGGAACATTAATTTTTTTGGCTCGTGCCACTCCGACCAACAATTTTTTGGGAAACCCAGCGTTTAGAGTTGTACAGAGTTGGCAATGGAAAATTCTCTGGGTGAACCCGATAATAAGTTTTTTGAAGAGGAAAAGTTGTCGCCCTGATTTCCCACTGATGAATGAAGTTGGTATCAAAGGGGCAGGTTATGAGTCCCTCGTTGGGTCTCGTAGGTTTGTTCAAGTGAAATATTTGAGTATTAGGTGTACTAATAGTGTTTTCGTGTTTATCGAGGGCATGGGGCATGTACGGAGAGGATCAGAGGAGATTGCGGACACCATTGCCATCGTTCGTGGGGAAACCAGCATTTGTCAACTCGTTCTCGGTTATTTGGGGTAGGGTATGGCCACAATTTCAAATATGTATGGAATGACCCATTAGAGGTATTATGTGTCTAAGTGATTTGGAAATATCTTGCCTTGAGGCCATTTCTTCAGAGGTTTCACAAGAGATTAAAGACTATCGATTTGTCATTTTTTTTGTAACTCATTGTATCGTTTCAATGAATCGATTATCGTATGAAAATATTCTCAAAAAAATATTTCTCAATCATACTGCATTTTTCAACTTAATTATTCCGTGAAAAAAGTGAAAAATCTAAAAACGGCTTAAGAATTTCCCAAAAAATCATCTAATTTGCCTTTTAAAAAAGGTTGATCATTTTTTTTATGTTACCTAGAATCAGAATAGCCCCTTTGATTTTCGCGGTGATAACTACAACTTTCTCGCGAGGAATCCAGGAAGTCGAAAATTCACGTGATAAAACCCTAAAGCCCCGGCTTCTGAGGATTTCCCGAGCATTTCAACGAATCATCCACAACCCCATCCCCAAGTACAATAATTTGCAGCCATTTCCATTGATTATTCCAACGAAACGTATAATATAATAAAGAAGGGGCAAAAAAGAGTGGGACAGTAGTATAGTGGCGCGTATTCGCGTGTTCAGGACGCAGGGAATGTCGTCTGAATCTCACAAAAACCAATAACCTGGGTTCTCGGGGCGTTGGAAGCGAGCTTGTTTATGGCTTGAGGGAGAAAACGAATGCCAGGAACAAACCTGGTTGGAAAGAGAGACGGAATAAAAGCGAAAAGTGGTGGAAAAGGGTTGGATGAAAAGTACGAGAGAGGAAGACGAGAATGGGTAGCATGTTGGGTGCAGTAGTGAACGAAAATCCACTTGTGACCTTCATCGCCCGGTCTCACCTAAATGCAATTTGAGAATTCGTTTGCATTTTATATAGCATCAATTTCAGTTTTCTTGTTTCACGTATTCCTCGTTTTTAATGCATTGTGAATATCACAAATCTCAGGAGTTCTCTGTTTTATGGGGACATATGCGTCGCGTGAATCGATTCATCGGTCGACACATTTTCTAGAACGTTTTTAAGTCTGAACTGTTGATTCAGAGCATGGGTTATAACCCGGACAACCTCTTTAAAATTACATCAGCCATAATGCAGCAAATCAATTATTTGCACTTGTAAAAATTGTTACTTGTGGAATTTTGTACAAATCGCCATTTCGGGGACATTTTGTCGGTGAGAACTCACGATTTTTCAAAAGAATTGATGGAAATCCGGGAATTCCCTCCAGATTTGCGAGAAATTGGAGATTTATTATATTATACATCTGTTCATCAACTTTCAATTGAAGAAAAACAAAAAAACCAACCGCGAGACGAATAAATAATTTCCTATCGTGGACGATGAAAAATATCTCCTCTCGTTATAAGTGAATTCAATGAAGTGGATATTTTTAGACGTTAATATAATCCCGCGTTGACACATCTCAATTACCTTGAAATGCCCGAGTGATTAGATGCCGTAATACTAGTAATTAGCAAGTATAATTCGACATATCTCAGACGCGCGACCTTGTTATGGTTTTTTTCCTGCAATCGATAACGACTGCTATTAATTACACGAGTCCCCAGTAATACACGAATTTCGATAGTAACGTTGGTGTAGAAAATATCAAAACAGAATTCAATATCTCCACCAAAAGGACAACTCGACTTTATAGTCAACCAGTTAATTTAATATTGTACCAAGTGAAATTACAAATTCTATCCAACATCAATCGAGATAACTTTGTGATCAAGTTGTTCCCTTCGTACACATTATATACGTATGCGAATATACGGCAACCATTAGTACACAGCCAACTATTTCAAAGCCACAGGTGAACAATTCTGTGTATGTAATAATTCCAACCATGTTGACATAAAGCTCAAATATGCATCATCTAAAAAATTTAAACTTCACTGTACGCATACGAACAAAAATCTGTTGTCCTTTTTTTATGAGGAGAAATATTTTGGAGACAATTTAGCTCATCATTTAATCGACGTAAATTTCACGAACCGTTCCTGAAACTCTCCCACATAAATCCATGAAAAATCTGTCTAAAATTTCACGTGCCACTGTCAATTTAAATCTGTTCCTCGGGATTTCTCTTTCCGAGAAAAATCCCAGGGGTTTTCATGAAATCCTCAGTTTATTTAACGCTTCGTTCAGTCTACCTTGAGCAAATTCATGTTGCTCTCAAAAAAATCATTCAAAATGAGAGATAAATGAATTTATTATTAACAAACGGCTTTGATTAAAGACTGGTATATGCTTAGTCACACGCAAAGCTCCTTCAGTAATAGTCAATGGATAGATACTTGATAAGCCTTATTCGACATATATGCTACCTCCGAGGTGAAAGCATTAACCATTAACCATCATCAGACCACATTTCACTCAAAAATTCGTGAATAATTAACGAACCTTATTTGAAAAAAGTAAATTATCCAATGAATGCAGACGAATATTTAACAAGCCCTCTGCAGTGATAAAAGGTTAAAGTATTCTTCAATAAAAATAAAACCACTCCAATTTACTCAACAAACTAAAAAAAAAGGTGAAAATAATGAAATTCGCAGGACGTACCTCAAAAAAAAAAGGCGAAGCGTAAAAAATTCAAGTCGGTGGTAGAACAGAAGACTAGCTCTTTGAAAAAAACGGAGAACCCATAAACAGAACCATCTAATCGTGTGACAAAATAAAGCACAATGAATTACCCATTACTGTGATTTACCGTTTTACGAGCGTGAATGGGCATATGACTTCCGGATTATTGTGGAAGTGTGTGAGTTAGTCTGTCACCTCCTTGTGGCCCGTATAATCCCTATTCCCCGTGAATAATGCACATAAAACTGGCCCTCAAATGCCGACGATAATCCCGCATAGGTTATAACCAATGGACATTCCGATTAGTGACATAACCGTCCACCGGTCTGCTCCTCAGTCTGGACATGTCCCTAACCGGGGGTCCCAGACTTGATTGTCATGCACCAAACAACCGTAAACACCGTACAATTTCCCCCCACCATCCACAAACACTTGAAAAAAAAAATAATCTCCTTCGGCGTAAAAAACACCTCAGCATTCACTTTTGCCTCTCGATTTCGCGCGTTACAATGGGATTGTATATATCGGCACCGAGGAAGAATAAATCGACATCGATAACGGCTACACACTGACAGATCTCCCTGTATTTCCCTCAACGTTTTCTCGACTACTTTTTTTTTTCCTCCCCCGTTGTTCCTCTGTTTGCAGAAAAGCACTTTTTTTTTTACCTCTACCCCGCCTTTTATTGAACCCCACTATTTCGCCCAACACGCACACATCACCCTACGCACGAAACTCATTCACTTACTCCTTTCGATAAGCCGATGAACTTTCTACGACAACCAAAAATCAAGTAACTAATAAATAATAAACCCGCACTCACTGATTCTATCTGGGCGGCATGATCCTTTGGCGCCAGTTTCTCTCGAATCCGTCGCTCGAGGCACAATTGTCGGCGTAGATTTTTTTTTCTCGGGATAACAAATGCTTCAGTATAAATAATTGCGCGGAGTTTTTTAAGTGCACGAGTGATTACGAGTAATAAGACACTGAATAGGGATCTGTCAAGTCGCGGGCACGTAATCGTGGATTTTTCTTTTCGAATAAAACCGTAGTGTCCACTCGGAGCGTCACGTGCGTACTGACACGATCGCGATTGCCTGGCGTTGGAGCACCCGATGGACCCGACACTTCGGTTTGCGACTCTCGGAATTTCACGGAAAAACCCGAAGCCCTGCGTCTAGATACCAATGTTGCGTCTCAACATTCGATGCACCCAGAGTCAATGTTCCGATGGTAAAACTGATTCCTACATTATTCAATGAGATTTTTTATCACTGGAGCCAGCAATGATAAAAAAAAATGTCACCATTATTTTTTTCAAATCCATTCAAATTTTTCCAGGCATTGGTTAACGATCATTTTTGAAGAAACTCCAGTAAGATGAAGGAAAAATTCAATTTGAATAATTTATTTGAACATTTGGTGGCAAGAGAATTTAATATTCATTTGTTTTTTCATCCAAATTTCAGCCGATAGAATGGCAGCATTCGATGGGGCTACTCGGTGTTGTACTGAATATTTTTCGAATATCTTCTCTCGTAAGTAAATATTTTTAAAAATATTTCAAATATTTTGTCTCTGAAACAAAAAACTATTAGATCATGTTAAACACTGATTGAAATTGACAGATTGAATTGTGTTATTCATCGAGTGAAATATTTGTCTCGCCTTTTTAAATCTCTTTTCTTTTTCGTTTTTTGAATACGGACTTCATCTCGAAAAAAATAATTCGAATACGACTCGAGCTTCGAAATTAATCGGATATTTCCCTCTAGGTTCCCTGCATATTAACAAGCTTGTTAAGTTTTCCAGAAAAATTACGAACGTGAAATCATTTAACCTCCCAAACTTCACTTAATACGTTTATTTTTTCAAACGAACCTATCCCAGAATATCCGATAATTCCGAAGCTCTCGTGGTATTATAAATGAATATGTTCAAAAATAGTCCATTGAATCCGTTGAAATATTCGGTGATAATTCTTTAAATAAATTGAGCTTCGCATATGAAAGAGTCGACGCAATTATATTCGAAAACTGATAATAGCGAATTGCCAAATTGGAATAAAATTGGTGATTGCAAAGCCCTGAATGGCACACGGATTACCTTAAATTTCATCTCACAATTCGATATTGAAATTGAGGGACCAGGATATTCGTTGTCCCCCGATAAATTCATATACGTCCTAATATCCCGTGTATATATATCACTCCTACTGCAGGCTGGAAAAGCATATCCGATGAGTTGTCGCTAAAGGCTGTAAATTGGCATCTACACCAAAACCAGTGGAAATTATTCACATCGGATTTAATCGACTTCCGCGTGTATCCAATGAAAGTCAATAAGTCGATAAATATTCGTGGAGGTTGTGTGCCCCGACCAGAGCAAAAGAATCCACTGGCCTCGCTGAATTCGATGATATATGAGAGAGAAACCTCCCACATTTTCCCTTTTTTACATGGTGTGTACAGGTATACAGGTCAGAGGGAAGCATTATTATTTTTTATTACTTTTTATAACGATATAGCTGTAAAGATGAAGAGCCCCACGAGTACATGGAACGTTAAATGCGCGTTTTCTTTATTCCCTTTTCATGAGTATGATTTTTTCCACTGTTCTGATAAAAAAAGAAGATTGCTAAAATAGAAAAAAAAAATGTATCCTTTTATGAGGTTAAATGTAATTTGTTGCACATTCCCCGGACAAAGAGGTAAAATAATATTTCTCATGTCAAAAATGAAAATCCAGTGTACGAAACCTCGAGAGTTTCCTTCTAATTTTCCATAAAATACCGTTGAAACTTTCTCCCCTCATTGGTGATGAAAGGAGGTGGGTGGAAAACGAAAATTGTATAGAATACTGTTGCAGTTGCGAATGGAATAAGTTGTGGTGCCTGTCAAATCATAATTTCATTCGTGGCGGTAGTAACAACCGAGCGGCGTGAGGGGCCGGAAACAGGGTAGAATAGGTTGGAGAAAAGGGTGGTTGAGGGATTGGAAAGAGGACGGTGGAGAGGATGGCTGGAGGGTTGTGTGGTCTTCCAAGTGGAGAGGATTTATCGAAGGCGAAACGTCGATGCATTAACGCAGACGGGAAGAGGCGCGGCCCCAGAGAAGTGAACTAACGAAGGAAACGGTTCTCAACTCCTCAAGAACTCCCTCCTATTCTCTCGAGTGCCCAAATCCTCTTCCTCTCTATTCCAGTCCAAGTAAAACAATCTCTAGATTAAATTGAGGTAATCTTATTAAGTACAAATCAATTGTTTCAGTGCCACTAGTACAAATATCCTATTAATTATCCTACAATTGACTATTTTTCTGACCGATGGATTATTTTCTGACATCAAGAGCCTCAGAATCGTTCAGGTCTGATGAATAATATACTACACTTCTCGGCAATTCTGGGAATATGATGAGAGTAATCTCATCACGTACAAATCAACATTTATTCAATGATTTTATTCGTCTTGAGGTCAAATACAATTCCCAGTAACTGATTATCAAAATAATAATTAACATCGATTCAAAGAACCAACACTGGAGGAATTGGTTTATGAGATAAGGCCCACCGGAAAAGTGGCTGGGTGAAGCCATCCGTGAAGTTGAAGCTGCGCCTTTATTAGACCGATGGCCCGGTACTGTACGTGCAGCGAATCAATTGAAGAACGAGTAAGACGCGCGTAACGATCAGATAGAAAGAAAAGTCTGTAGCGAGAGGAAAATTTTCTCCCATGAATTGAGATAAGAAGACGAGACATTACGGATAGGGAATACGTTGCACTCCGAAGCCCACCATCGCTCTTACTTTCTTCACTACCACCGAAAGGTTCCGATGGATGATGGGGATTGGTTGGGCTTGGGTTGAAAAAAAATGGCCAACTTAGAGCCCAAGGATCACGGGTGATAATTTCTGTGCCTCTTCTCTTGGATTTATTTCTTTTTTCTCCAGTTAAAAAAAAAATAGAAAAACTCAATTCACAGGAATAGCCGTTTTTCAACTGCAACTATCGGTGACTGATCATGCGTTAAATTAAATAAGATTTACGCGGGGATTTCGTGGAATTCTTTCAACCCCGGTGGAAAGATTGAGAATGAATTGGAAAGTGGAGAGAGGGGTGAGAATGTTGTACCTAGCAGCTAAATGCTGGAAAATAATTTAATTCAGTGGAGACTGCTTTCACTGTGCGCTGAAGCCATTGAAATCCAGACAACTGCAGACATTTCAATCGTCCTTCGATTCGCGGAGATTTATCATGATTTTGAGAGGTTTGGAGATGAGTCTGGGATGGCTCCCACCTGAGTACCGACAGGTCTCCGAGCTTTTCAACGCAGCGATTAATTAAGAGTGTTTCAATTAATTGTTCAGTTCGTGGATAATTTCGTTTTGATGCGCTGCACTATTCGCAGGACGAACTCCTGGAGGAGGGGCTGTCTCATTTTACCAACGTCCATGACCTCCTCGTGGTTCACCTCGTCGTGGCAGTCATCGTCGATTACACATTGATTGGTAATTAGACTGAAAGCAAAGACTTGAAGATCACAGTGACGTGCAGTGATGACCTCGTGAACCGTTGACATACCTGTGTTATGGCAGATTAATATTCACTGATGAATACCCACATTGATTCACAGTGATTCACATAAGGCTGCTTTTGCGTTTACTCACCAACAGCATCCACGCCGACCATGCTCAACATCTTGAGTTCTGCTACAGTTTCGAAATTGGGCCCTCCAAGACAAGTATACACACCCCTGTGTACTATATCTGAAATTCCCATCTCACTGGCAACTTGGCAGCCAATCTCGAGGAGTTCCTTGTTGTACGCTCTGTTCATAGGTGGAAATCTCGGTCCAAACCTGATTGAGTCCAGCAAAATTTCGTGAATTATTCTCAATTATAGCTCAACGCAATTGCTGTTTACCCAAAAGTACAAAATCCAAATTGATCTGACCATTCGTATCGCCCAAATTGATATAAAGAACCAGAGATTGTACTTTTTATGATTCCCGAATGGTCTTTTGTCTTCAGATCGAACTTTAATGATCTACGCTATACCCCACAATAACCGGACTCAACAAAAGAAGACAATCCCAGAAAAAATAAAGGTAATTTCGAGAACCAAGGGGACAGTTTATTGGAGTTGGAAAGGATCTCAAGTCCATTAATATCGGCACTGGTGACAGAAAAGCAACAGAGTAAGAAAGAGAGTAAAGAAAAAAAAAATCGGAACTTGTGTCTCGTGGAAAGAGCTAGACGAGATTGTACGGGAATGGGAAGCGGTGGGATGAGAGAGCCCTAACGAGTTTCACAAAATAAATATGTCGATCATCTCTCCTTCCTCCCAAGCAAACATCTCATCAGTTCAATTGTAAAGTTCATAGAAATGAAATAAAACCGAGTTGTCATCCAGGTAGAGTTGCCGATATTCGGAGTAACTCATGAATAGAGAATTGTGAAATAGATGGGGAGCGTTGCAACACTGTCATAAACTATTTACTCTGGTATACCTATCATCGTTTGGTCCCTGAAGTGGATTGTTGCCGGCGAATCCCATCATGTTTACGTGATCCCTCACCATCATGATGTCACCAACCTTGTATTTGGAATTGAGGCCACCGGCAGCATTTGTCGCTATGAGATGGCTCACACCCACCAGTTTCATCACTCTTACTGGCATAGAGCACTGAAAATCCAAGTAAAAAAAAAAAATATATGCATCAACAATGACACAAGTATTTCCAGAAACATTATTCACAATGTCTGCCCAAGGTTGTCAGGATCTCCTCTGGTATTTACCGTTGACCTCATGCATGGGATAAGTGCAATATAAGAATAACAGAGAAGACACGAAAATGGATATAAAACCCCACCAACACTTGAGGCAAACGGCCATACGAGCAGCCATCGGGCTTTGCTACAAAAATGTGGATTTTTACCTTCCACAGTGGATAGCCCTCGTAATAGTGGAATCTCCCCTGCATACACATCACTGGAACATCCTCGAGATATCCGAATACTAGCTGACCAACGTGACCCTTCACCGTTGACGACGGAAAATGCGGTATCTCTTCGTAGGGAAATGTCTTTACGTCAGTCAGAGAATCGGCAATTGAACCTGGACACAACTCACTCTGTTCAGATATGCCTGCCCATGACACAGAAAACAGCATAATAAGGTACACACAATACAATTGTTTACTTCAATCAAAAATTATCATTCATTGATTTATTTGATTCAAATGAACAATTACGTAAAATTAATAAATCCTTCTTTCGATTTAATTAAATTATATTTACGGTGGGTTTGAGGAGAAAAATCAATCCACAAATAGAATTTATATGCAAATCATAAACGTGGAGTATTACTCGAGTGCATATTACTTTATTGGTTTTCTTGGGGATATTTTCCAGTATCTCCGTTATTTCCCTAATACCAATGGAAGTTTTTATTGACATAAGTTTCTATGAAATGAAATTAAAAAAAATAGGGGAATGCAATAACGAGCTTATTGCATCCCGCAGCATTTCATAATACCAATTATAAATTGAAGTTTGAAGAGGACCTGGATGTTATTTGGACGTGTATTATATCAATTATTGGGCGAATAATATGGGGATTGAGCATCATTATGGTACGCGTTCAGTGTTCCATCAACTTTTGTGTGAGAATCCAGTGTATTCATTGAAAATATTAATACTAGCTGATAATTCAAGGCTTACGAATTCATCCGATAATATTCATCATCGGTATTGGTAATACAGCATAAATTCAAAAAAATCGTGCAGATGTACTTGCGAGGGAATAATCGAGGAAACCTACCCATTCCAGATCCACAAATGATTCCAATTTTCGGCCTGATGCTCACACGATCCAGTAGATACTGAGCCGACTCCAGCAGCATTTCAAAACTATACCTGCAACAAAGAATGAAAAAAAAAACAATGTCAACTAGAAGCAAAAGCCTGAAAAGTGTCCACCGACGTTGAAATCCCACCGCATTGAGCCACCCGGCGTATTCTTTCCAATTCGACCAGTGAGTGACTACTGATTCTGAGTATTTTCGCAAAACAATCGGCTTCGATTTTATGACTGAACGATCTCGCTGAATAGCTCTTTCACCGGAAACGGGTCACATGGTTCCAATGCGATTTTGCCAAAGCTATAGTTGAAATGTCAGTGGTTAGACAACACATACACCCTACAGTATAAAACAATGAGAATGTATTGGTGCATGTTTCCGTACTTGAACGAGTGTAACCCTGTTGTGACACTGTGCGCTCATATTAGTGCATACCTATCCGCGAAATGAGAAAGCTTCCATGAGGTATATCACCTGTATTATCCACAGTGCTCTAGAACTCTGAGGAAACACATAAACGCGTAATGTTTCAAGTTGGTTGGTACACGTGTGAGTGTTGGAAATCGTTGGTACCCAGGAAACAAGCCAGATAGTGGCTCAAGCGGAAGAAGGGCCCTCTCACCATATCAACCTGAGGGAGGAGAATAGTCTAACTGCACTCGCATAAGTATTTCAATCCCACCTATGGCTTTAATCATCTCGAAAGGTTGTCTCTCAACAACTGTTTTCATTACAACTTGCTTACTCACGTTCTATTTGTTATCCTTATCCGGTAAATCTCATTGATTCGGTAGATATTCATCATCTCGTCACTTTCAACAATTCAAAAGACCCCAATCATTTCAATTCTTTATCCGATTTCTAAAAAAATAATACACCCACACATGTTCAAAGTGGAAAAATCCACTGGCATGGTAAATAAATGCGATCCGGATTGATATTTTGACTGCGGATGGAGAGAAAACCCAAAATTTATGTATTAATCGACACGAGACAAAATAAATAGGACAAAAAATTGATGAAATATCGATAATTCAACCGCCATTGTGAGGAGTAAAAGCCCATCATTACTCCAACGAAGCGTTCATTTATTACCGATGACATAGATATCCCCATTATGCGTTAGTTGGTTAATTTTACAATAAAATATCATTACTCCATAAATGTAATACTGTATTGTTGGGGGTCTGTCGCTTGTTGACGTCCATGAATCACTACTCTATGTATTGACGGAGGGGTTTTTGGTATATGATATGTAAAATCGGCGCGGGGATAGTGGAGTTGCTAAAGGATCGACAGAGCGGGATGGGCTTCAGGTACAAAATTAGTTATGTGGGGCTTGAGGAAACTTTGGCCTCGTGTATAGTCTTGCCATGGCCCGAATCCTCCGACGAGAAATATTAACTCCCTCTGCAGCCCTTTGGCAAACTTCAACCCTCTCTCACCCCCTCCAAACGTTTTCCTTCATCGCCTTCTATGCAGTAGTCTGCTAACACCCCCACCAACTCAGTCAACCAAAACTGAAGCATCAACTCCTCGACTTCTCATTCATCCTGTGTACCCCTTTCCATCTCTCCCCAGTCAAACTTCGATTCAGTTAACAATGAGTGTTTAACCGTATCAACAGTTATTTTCTAATGCATGTAAACAGTAATTGAGGATAATTAATATTGTATTTCATCAGCGACACAATTATCTTATCTCTTTCAATTAAAGATCAGGTAGCTAATATCTAGTGTCTGTCACGAACTAGGAATTCCGTTAACCCTCGTGTCATCATTTATATTTTATACAACTGTTGAGATAATCTGTATTATCAGTTATTACATTTACACGTCAGTGGGTTTGTGTCATTGCGATTGTGCGGATTTCCATAAATTTTTCAATAATCATTCGTTGACTGAATATACCGATTTTTTTTGTATGGGTCTAGCAATTCCTTTCTGCGCTGCGTGGCAAATAATTATTCCTCTGGGTTCATAGCGGGATGTTATTGTCGGGGACCAATTGAAATAACTTGGACAATAATAATTTCGATATTTCAATGGAAATACCGGGAGTCCATTGTGGCGTACTGGCATTGTCGTTTGTCATCCATGGAGGCATGTAGTAGTCATGGATTAACGATGTACCAACATTGTTATCACAATGAGACTTTACTGTTATCAGTGGATGGAAGGCGTGAGCCGTTGCGGGGCAGTTTCTTAAACCGAGTGATGTAATTTTTCTTGATGATGGTACTGTTCCACTGGGGGATAGATTAATATTGCACAATATCAAAGCAAAATATGTCGCCAGATAGTGATTGCAGTGGGTATTTCAGAGTTTTAAATTGCGAAAACAAATCAATCGCATGAAGAATGCATTTTGACAGAATTTTTTTTGTTTCTCGTTGCAAAAAAAAATACTGTAATAATAAAATTTAATGTATTATTTATTTGCCGGGTCTATCGATTAAATTTGAAAGGAACGGGGGCAAATTCTCGTGTACCTCCTACGAGTAAGCCTGGGCTAACATAACATTGTAACACACGCGTGGCATTCTATTACATTGCCTCGTGCATAATGCAGTTTAAAATAAGTTTTTCCCCTGCTGCACGCTATAAAACTTGTATCTCACGGATTATGTACCTCCACCAGCATCAACTTGACATTTTCTCCCCCTCTAGTCCCCAGACTGGCCAAAAGCCTGTATACACCTCGATGTGAAAATAAAACTCTTTGAATTTCATACTGAGAGAAATGAAAAAAATCAAGACGCACGATTGTAACATTTTTTTCATCGCGTATCTCACTCATCGCTCAATCATTTATCATATCGGCAATTCAATAACAGACGTACGTAATTGCCCAATAAAGTAATTAATCTGAAAATAAATATCTGTTGGTTGAATAAAATGAGTTGAATAAGATTACAAGAGTAATCTATGGTAATCTGCAGTTTTTTCCGTATATTCTTCATTAATTCCCTCAAGTCATTGGGGTTGCATTAATTGTTGAGAAATACTGCGGTATGTGGTGGATTTTTCTTTTCAACGCCATCCGAATATCGCATAAATCTGATCCACGTGTAATACCCACATCTATCATTCGTGCATGAATGAGCTGACATACGTAGAGGGAGTGAGACGCGTTGGGCTCCTTTCGAATTAATGCAGGGATGGAAAAATGATCACATTTTTCAACGGGAGCAGCTGTCTGAATATCATAACAACGTTAGTCGATAGAATTATCATTGATCTGGGAATATCCAGTCGCCCCTTCCTGATCCCAAATGATTATATTTCTATCTCAATTGACGACTAAACTGTAACAGATCGAAGAGGAGATGATGCAATCCCAGAACTCACTTAAATATTAACTCCAGTAATGAGCACCTATCCATTAAAGTTGTCCTTGAAATATGAATGATCACTCAGCATGAAAATCCCAAGTGCCATTGAATTTTCATGCTGAATGGCAACTTCCATGAAGGACTCAATCTTAAACTCAATAAGCCCCACAACATTGACTATTTATTTACATAGGCTATTGAAACAAAATATCATCTCTTCCCATTCTCACTAATTTCCCCAGCAACGGCAAATAGAGAAATTCAATACGGGATATCAAAAACCGAGACCACATTTGGCATAAACTAAAAAAAATAAAACAAAATAAAACTTACGCAGAATGGCTGATATGCTTGACCGCTGTATGCAAAAACTCGTTCTCGTTTGGCCTGGTAAGTGGTCCATTGGAAGAATGTCCATTGGTTCTCTCGAAAGGCATGATAACTGGAGCAATCCGTATTCTCGTAATTATCCAACACAAACACTTTGAGATTTTCTTTGAATTCGTCTTATCCGAATCGAGGAGTCTCCAATGGAAGTGGTCGATCCAGCAGGTAAATCAACAACTGTGTACGGTAACTTGAAGGGCCAGTGATAGTGATTTCTGTTGGATTGACCACTGAAGAATGTCTGGTATCCGTTACGAGTCAGCGTTTTATAAGCTGTGCCCCAAGTCGAACGAGAAAAAGTGAGTAAAGTCAGTATTGACCAATCGTGTATACAGCCAGTGAAGAGCGATGACCAATCGTCAAGTCCTGGATGCAAACTGTAAACCAGAGGAATAACAAGGGGCCAGCGTTAATGATAACCCATTGCGTGTAAAATGCTCCAATTGCGGTGGCGAGGCCGTTTTACCAGGGGACCCTGTTTGGTAGGCTAATCTTCCCCTCTTAGCCTCTTGTCTACCCCACTCGTTCAATCTCCCTTCCATCTCGACTGTCATTCACGGATCTCCTTCCTTTATCATCAAAAAACTATGCGTTAATATTCATTGAACTGTTTCCAATGAGAAAACATCATTGCAGCGGAATGACGAGAACTTTCTCTTTATCTTGATCAATCTTCATTCGTGCTTTTTATCATTTTACGGCTTCATTACTGAATTCGAAGCATAACTACTGTCTGTGCTCTAAAATAACAGGTAACAACTGTAATAAAGATTCCACAATCACCTGCTACCCTTCACCACTTCCGCACTGGTTTATTATCTTGAGAATAATTTATTCGGCATTACGTAATTCTCGTTAGTATATTTGTCTCATTTATGACGCAGTAATACACATACAATAACTGAAAAACAACAGGGAGATTAAATTGAAATAATATGAAATGACTTATTTCTATTTTGAAAGATAAATTGAGCGCTACGCAATTAAAATTTGGCCAGGAAATGTTGTATTCATGACTGAATCTGATTGATAACCAGTATCAGAAGATTCTTTCAAATAATCCCAGACGATCGAAGGTTCAAGGTCGGATAAGCCATTTGATTTCCGTTGAGTGTCAGGTATTGGTAGCTGTACACCTAGCACAATACCAGAGAATTTATTGATAACAAACGGTATTTCCTATTAACCCCAAATCCCACAGGAAACACGTAAAAATGGTTTTTCCACCGGAGGATATTTTCATGGCGACTGAACATTTCCATTTAGTTTATGATGAACGATAAAATCTAGTGTACAATAACGTATGTATCTCTCTCAATAAATCCAGTGTCATAAATACGATATTTAGATTTACATGTAATTATTTACATTTGAAGTTACAGCTACTCGATTCAGAAAAGTCAGAAATATCTCAACACTGGCTAATTTTAAACCACACCGTCTTACATCGGTATATTATTATATTATTATATTCGTTACACGAAGAACCCTGAACAATTGAAAAACTTTACAAAAGCAAAAAATCGAATTTCTCCAGTGATTTCAATTCCAAATTTATATGCAATATGAAAATTGCACACAAATGGCAATTTTCTAGTGTGACATCAAGTTATCTTATTTACGTTGGCATTACATAAATCTGATTATGCTATCATTATTCATCGGTCATTTGTTGTGCCCCTGAATAGTTTTAACTCACGGGCCCAGTCTTTATCGTGCATGCAAGAGCCTTCAATAGCATTGCGACATCACTTCGGGGGGTAGTGGACACTTCGATCCGCTGGGGTTCTAGTTTATCGCCTGACCCTACAGTGTCACACTATCGAGAATAAACAGATATGATTCTACATTCGAGAAATATCTCAGATATATTGCATTATTACTGCTCACTAAATCTATAACCGCATTGTTAGATGCACATCATCCTTTTAAGATAACAATACTTATTTCCGTAAAGTGATTGATGTAGATGACGCATGTTGTAATCGGCTTTAGAGATTGTTGGTGTCAATATGCAATATTTTAATGCGATTACTTTTTTGTCAAGTGTAATCGGATTTTTCTAAATTTATCGCTCGATGTGCGTAATAATGGATTGCTCAATTACTGCAGTATATGCATAATTTACGGTTTCATTTATCGCAATTGGAATAGATTTTTTAATGGATTGAATTCCAAATGACAGAGGAGATTTAATTGTGCCAACTCATGCTTTTTTGATTTGATTATTCATTATCTCCAACAGAGAGATTTCGGTTTCGATTACACCATTAATACTGTTAGTATTAATTAGAATATATTTGAACTTTTTCGGGGTCAAAGTCCTGGAAAAAATATTCAAATTCTCGCCTGGTTTCTGGAACATTCCATGTTGAAATTCACATGGCCCAAATATAAGAGTAGTCTCATACCTGTAGTGAGCCAAACGGAAGAAAATTTCAAAGGACAAAAAAATAAATAACATAACTGATAAAGAGGGCGATCAATAGGAGCTAGGGTAACACTTGAAACCAGTCGAGTCACCTCCAGATGGTGCATGTATTGTCTTTGCTTGCTGTGACAATGGTGTCACCATTGTACGAGAAAGCACAACTGAAAACGTCGTCGGTATGGCCAGCCAGAGTCTGCAAACATCGTCCGGACTCGGTTGACCACAGACGCGCGGTTCTGTCCAAGGATGAGGTCAGCAATTGATGGCCGTTCGGACTGAAACAGACTATTTTCAAAGTCAATTTAATTAAAGTTCCGGGGAGTGATCTCACGATTGGTTTTCCAAATTAATGACCAAACTTGTACTTTTTGATACTTCCTCGTGGTGACCATCGAGTGCAGCAATCTCCTTAAATTCACCAGTAATGTCCCACAACCGAGCGGTCGCATCGCTACTGGCGGTGGCCAGTCTGGACCCTTGATTATCCAGTGTCACATCCAAAACTTCATCCTCATGCCCCGAAAGGACACCCAGACACGTGTTCATCCTCGCATCCCAGACCCTCGCCGTATTGTCCAGGGATGATGATGCTATTATCGAGCAGTCGAAGCTGAATATGCAATTTGATATTTTAGCATCGTGGCCAACTAAAGCACTTGTGCGTCTGCAACAGGAATTATTGGGAGCCTATCGCCAAATGGTAGTCTAGCTACTCATTCCTCTACTCAGCGATACCATCCGTCCAGAATAGATTCACATTTTAATTACTTCCTTTCAAAGCGCCACGTGAACTCAATAAATTACACACCTTAATTCTTCAATATTTCGCAGTTATCCACCGCAAATTTCAAATTAAAATAGTCTTTCCTCATTAAATCCTGATTCAATTACCGAATGGCCTCGTGACTTTAGGAGTGACTAGCCATCACCGAGAGAAATTTCTCCGAAAAAATCTGGTCTTAGTAGTAGAGAAAAAATAGGTAGATTTCGTCAGAAGAATTTCCTTTCGGGTAGATTAAGATTACGAAATAATTACTTGTATGTCCTAGTGTCCCAAATACCAATGCTACCGTCGAATGACCCAGTTATAATTTGATTACCATCATCATTATATTGGAGCGCTATAACTTCGCCTGTATGGCCCTTCAACGTACCCAATTGTTGACCTGCAGGGGAAACACAAATACCTCAGCATATTGAAAATCTCAGGTGTTACAGTTACTCATCGACTGAAAAAGGTGGATATACCGGATTCAGTATGAAATATTTTTCCAGTCCCATCCATGGATCCAGTGGCAACTCTGGTGTGGTGGGACGGTGAGAACCTGACCACAACTACCTCGGCGTCGTGGCCCCACAGATTCACCAGACAATTGCCAGTTCGTGAGCACCAGACACTCGCTGTTTTGTCGAATGATCCAGTCACGATTTTATCACTGTCATCGATTCAATAAAAATTGGTTTTTGCCAGATATGGTTAAAGTACTTCGTTGTTACAATTTTTTTTTTCTTTTTTCAACGCTCATCAAGCAACTCACGAAGTCGGATTGTTGAAGGACACGGCATACACTACGTTCTTATGGCCTTGGAGAGTAAGAAGCTCCGTTCCACTGTCAATGTTCCAAACTTTACAAGTTCGGTCATAGCTGCCCGTCAGGCATCTGCCAATTCAAAGAAATTAATAAAAAAAAACAATGATCCATCAATATATACATATATCAATTATAATTATTGAAAAATGACTTTTGAATCGAAAACGACGAGTCGTCTGGATTGAAAAGGTGGAGTTTTAATTTGGCAGGAGCATGACAGTGACCTGACATGTCACCCCGTTACGTTATTTATTATTGAAAAACGTGAAATTGCGGAGAAAATACAATTGCGTGAATATTGAAGGAGCCCTGAAGAAGAATTGTACTGTTCCCACAAATCACTCACATCCATATTAAATAATTGATGCACAACATGAGAACTACCTTTTACCTAATTTATCAAAGCCAATGTTAGTCAGCGGGAGAAGATGGGTCTGCAGTGTCTTATATTTGTAATAACGCTTTACACTCGTGTCGCATACTTTACTCTGAAGCCTCTGCAGTGTCTCCTCCAGCTGATCCATCACACTCTCCGTTATAACCGGCTCAGCATCCTTTATACTCCGTGCCAAAGCTTTAATATCCGTTCTACGGTTAAAACAAAAAGGGCCAAACCCATGCGCCCCAACATAACAGAATAAAGTTTGACAATTTATCTAAAGTTTACAAATAAATTTTGCAACTCATTGTATACTGTTGTTTATTACTTAGCGGTTAGATCCAAAAGGTCAATCATCTTAGTTTTAATGTCACCACCCTGTGTGTACTCGAGTGCAATACCTGAAGAGCAATGAAAAAACTTTAAATTCTTCATTAGAAAAATAAAATAGGAACAATAAACTGACACTTTGGTTTATTGAGTTTGGAAAGTCACTCATTCGAGGGGAGGAAAATTACATTCACCGAGTGAACGCTCAATGGACATTAAATCTAATAAAAAAACATTAATGATGCAGAAAAGTCTTTTAGAACTGATCGAATTCTTCGGGTTGAAGAACTGAAAGAACTCCTTACCTGGTGGAAAGTAACGCAGTAAAAACTTCAGTAGCCTCATTACCGATTCGTATCACGATGGAATGAAAAAAATAACCCCAGAGAGGTAAAAAGAGAATAGAATGCCTGTAGCAGGTGCGTTTAGAGCTTTTAAATTGATTGCACGTTTTTATGCACAAAATTACAATTTAGCGGACCCAGTGTTAATGAATAATTTAACGTAAATAACAACTTTTATTGCGAGGAGCTTTGAAGTACAAGTTTTATTGGACAACTGGGAGGAAAGAGTGGAAGTGGTGCTGAGGGCTGCTATGTTCCTGGGTTGGAATCAGAATTAAAGTGGAACGTTACTAAGGCCCGTGTTTGTTCGATCAAACAGACCTTGGTCGCACATTCGATACCCATTTTTCCAATGTGTGCCCTTCGGTGTGTCCTTTGAGGGTTCAAAACTGATAGTCCGACCTGTCGAGTGTCGCAAAACGAAAAATTTACATTTTTTCCTAGAGTACGTTTGTGCTTTAGAATGACAACTTTGTAATCGTTATATTTCCTCGTTTCCTCATTCTCTTTGGAATGAAAATCATTTATAATGTCATGAAATTTGAAAACATTTTTCTTTCTTATGTTCGATTCTGTTAACCATTTTTCTTTTAATTTCCAGGGGTAAGGCTCCGAAATTTTATGCGCATTCAGCTTCCAGTTTCAGTTAATCGTGACTGTAAAAAATCAATCCAATCTGCCCATCGGATTTTCAAGGATTTATTTGGGAGTATTTATTTGAAATTCAAATTCAATTTCCCGTTGATAATGCAGAAATGAAAGTCTAGGTACTGGTAATGTAGAAACGGGTGTTATCAGATTGTGGGATATCCTGGAAGAGAATCAACAGGTGGCGGCAGGAACGTCTTTGAAACAACGAGGCCACAACATCTTGTTAGCTGTCAGCTGTTCAACCGATCCCAAGTAGTCACAACACCGGTGCAGCTGTTGTCATAGTAACGGAATTATTGTTTGAATTTTTGTGGATGGAATTTCCAGGGTAATCATCGAAATTAACGAAATGTCTGGAGATGTTGGTGATCGATTAATTTTCGAGGCCGAGTGGTTCGACACTGTTGCAGGATTCACCAAGAGATTTTATTTGTACTATTATCCAGCTGACAACACTATAGAACTAGTAAGACAGTTATCAATTATTAATTATCTTCATTGTTGTGAGAATTCCTTAATCTGCAGTTCGACATAAGGAGCAGGAAGACCTTCCTCAGGAGGACAAAATGTGAGGGTGTCGGACTCAAGGATTTGTACGTGGGAACTGTTGTCACTATTTTCTCAAGGCCAATGAAGATCACTGATGTAGCTGACAGCTTCACCAAGAGCAAACTAGGAGTGACCATTCAGAAGTAAGAACGAATGAAATTCAATTAATGAACAACGGGTCGTCAGTTTATTTTATATTTTGAAGGAAAATGATGATTTTAATGTTTCAGAACCTTTGCACTTCTTAAGCCAGACGTGATTTGTAAAATGGGAGAAATATTAAAAATTATCACAGCTCATGATCTCCACATTGCTGACATTAAAATGGTCAAATTGACAGAATATGATGTTGAGAAACTGTACAAGAACGACGAGCATTTTGAGTGAGTGACAAAATTTATTAATTACCAAAATTATACCACCATGCATTATCCTTCGCTGATACGACAATTTCATTAAAAATTCCAAGCCACATTTTCTAAGAAATTACTCAATGTCATAATGACATCCAAATTGTAGAATTCCAGTTATTTTCATCATTCCCATAATTTATAATATAAACAAGCTCCATCGCCTAAAAAAATCGATATTAAGTGGCTTTAAAATTGAATAGAGCTAAATTGAATTAAATGTATGATGAATCCTACGACTGGCCTCGGCTGTTAAATCTCTAAATGAAGAATGAAAAAATAATACATTCAGCTCGATCAAATCGTACTTAACATCCGGCCCAGTGGTTTTACTGACGTTGTTGGGAAATAACGCAGTCGCACGCTGGAGAGAATTAATAGGCCCTACGGACAGTATAAAAGCACGAGGAGATGCCTCAAATTCCCTGAGAGCTTTGTACGGAAAAGACGCGATTTTCAATGGATTTTACGGGTCCTCGAGCCCTGAACAAGCAGAAAAGGTGAATTAAAACTCATTCCCAAATTAAATCCCGCTAAAATACCCAAAAATTCTTGATTAACGCAATTCAAGGAGGTGGAGATGTTTTTTACCAGCGCTAAATCAGAAAAGTGTCCTTTGAAAAATACAGCAACAATGCGTAACTGTACATGCTGTATTATTAAACCCCACGCCGTGCAGGGACGACTGACCGGTGAGTCATCGTTGATACTCATAATCATCATTTGAATCAGTAAATACTATTTGAGACTGCAAAGTAGCAGAGTCACCCGATTGCCACTCATTTGTATGCGCAGGAGATATTGTCTGCGATATACAGAAGGCTGGCTTCACAATATCAGCCATTCAGAGATTTCACGTTGATCCTATCAATGCTGAGGAATTTTTGGAGATTTACAAAGGGGTTCTGAGTGATCATGGCGTAAGATCGTTACATCTTCAATATTTTCCTTCTCTCTTTCAACCTGTCGATGTGCAAATGCTCTATGTGACAAAATGTTTATTCAATATTTATGCAGGCAATGGTGGCTGAACTTCAATCAGGCCCCTGCATATCAATGGAGATAACTCACAAAGATGAGAATGTCAATGTTCCCCTGGAATTTAGAAAAATCTGTGGACCGATAGACCCCGTGAGTTTCGCTCAACTCTGTCCAAGGTTAAAATATAAATATCTATCATAACGACTCCCAAATTATTCCAGGACATTGGTCGACAAGTGCGACCGAATACTCTTCGTGCAAAGTATGGAAAATCCAAGGTTCAAAATGCCGTCCACTGCTCGGACTTACCGGACGATGGACTCCTTGAGGTAACAAAAAACACTGAAAAGTGCAGGCGGTATTAACTCGAAGTATTGACTCCTCTTCAGGTCGAGTATTTCTTCAAAATTCTGGATGATGGAAGCAGCTGAAATTATCTCAAGCCGTAGAAATATCATTGTATCCATAAATTCCTAATCAAGAAACGCTCATTTTTTTGGTAACAGCAATTTCTTATTCTTTGTTAAATCTGGACGAGTCGAATTCCAGAGCATCGTGTGTCCGATAACATTTCGACATTTAAAATTAAAAGTTTAGAGTGACATAAACACAGATTAATATTATTCATATTATCAAACAGTCTATTGATTACAAAACCTCTCTCCCTTCCGAAATAATAATTACTGTATGTTTCTACTCATTATAACACCAATAAAAAATTGTACTGATACTCTTGTACATGTTATTATTCAGAATGAACGATATAATTAATGATATACTCGAAATCTATTTTTTAATATTTATCATTGCTCTGTAACAGTTTGAACAAAGACGGGCGATCCTTTTAATTAGATACTGCACGTGGCGTTCCCTTTTCACCCGTCGATTAACAAAAAATGCTTCGCTGATTGCAATCCACATCGTACCTCAATCATTCGACATCATCGTAACCATGCGTCCTTGAGAACTCAGCTCATTACTGAAGAAATCATTCTTTGTGAAGAGGCCATGTGATATTAGAGGATATTTACCAGTAATTCATTGCAGAAGGGAATTGATATAGCTTCCCACATCCTCAAGGCTCCATAGAAAAAATTTTATTTGTATTTTTCAGCAGCAAAGACGTTTTTTTTTTGTTTCTTTTTACAAAAAGATTGATGAATATTGTTCACTCTTTTATCAAACTGCGACAAGTTATTGCAAGCATTTGAACAAAATATTTATTTTCCTTGGTAAATTCCTCAGTGTAAATTCCACATTTCTGATAAATTTAACGACTCAATGATAAGTGCAAAAATGAATATACTATTATTGAGAATAGTAAACTGGAGAGTCAAATCTCATTGGGCTGTTAGGAAATGGCTTTTCATGTTCGCCAGCTTGGATAGACCGGTAAGTGGCAGTTGAGCGCTTGACATCGACCGGCGCAGACCAACTCCAGTATTTATCTTAATTGTTCAAGTGATAAGAACTGTTTTCAAGCGATTGCACATTTTTGGGGGATAGACAAGAAATCCTGCGAAAAGAAAACGAGTTTTGTACGTGAAGGTCGCCGGATGGGATTCAGAGTGTATTAGGATTCATCGTCAGACAGTTATAATCGGTTCCCAGTGCGACAACGGCTTCGGAAGTTATTACGGAATTCTGTGGATGAACCACTGATGCAAGTTCTGTGGAATATGGTAAGAGGAATATTCCTTTTTCCAACTTTCTACAGCTTCACCCGCAGATGAACGTCATAATCAAAGGAGAGTTTTAAAAAAAAAACCTGAAGAATCATGAAAAACTCAGAGGAATTGCCGTTCAGATCAACTTCTTCATTTTTTTCGGCAATTTCTCTTTGTCACAGAAATGCGCTGAATCCTCATTTAATTCCATTTTATCAACTATAGAAAGCGAAAATTTAGTCTTACGAGACGTGTCCTCATTCTCAATTCAGCGACTCAATAAAAAATTCACGCGCTCGAGTGATTTTGTCTCATTACTTTCCACATTGAAATCGGTGAAAATTCTACGGTTAATTATTCGGAAATCCTTTCTCCCTCCAGGAATTACACTGATCATAATCGAAATGAGCCCTCTCCTTTAAACTCTGGTGAAATAATTCTTCGCTCAATATATTTCGCGATATAATTGTTATTCCAACACCGACGCAATTATCGAAAAACTAATGGCCCAGCAAAAAATAATTCAACCCACTGGCCTGAATGTGGGTGTAAGCAATAACATAATTTGTCAGTTCCTTTCAGCGATGAACTTGACACGATTCTGACATCATTATTATTCGACTCTGATACTCAATTATACACTTGAGTCCTTTTGGATCTTTCAATGAACTATCCGAGATGAAGAAGCTGATGTCGATCCCTTCTTCCAGATCAATCGTTCATTTCAATAGTAAAACAATTGCTGAATTATGAAATCGGTAATTCAAAATAATTCAACCGTGATGAGTAGACTTAATTGATGATGAATATTCACTGGAGACTCGAGCCAGAAATATTCAAGAGTGCGAATGGATCGGGGACATCTCCAGAAGAGCATCGAATATGACCGAGTTACCGAGTTGTTGAGGATGATTCTCGAGGGCATCGAACTGACTCCATTGGATCAGACAATCCCGTTCGCTCCTTGTACGGCAGGAATCAATCCTGCGAGCTATCCTGAAATATTCCAAGGATTGGAATTCCATTTTTTAACGTGGAGATGATACTGCATAGACGAACGTTGTTCGTGTGGAGATACATGAGAGTTGCGAGTTTAAACGGGTTGCTCGGTAATCGAATAAAATGGATAATCGGCCGTGGTTGACTCCTCCATATAGCTGGGACGATATCCTCTCGAAAACTCGTGCCGAGAGAAAATTACGTCAGTGATGGAATGAAGGCGAAATTGTTACCCCTGTTTTGCTTGTCATTATTCAGACATTTATCGACACCACTAAAATTTCAATAATAACTCGTCTGTAATTTTTTTTTAAGTAGGTGATAATGACCAACCAATGCCAAGGATTTACTTTTCTCAGGTGGAGATGCTGACGCGGTCAAAACGCTTTATTTCCATTTTTTATCTCTGGATATATCGCAGCTCGTCTTTCATTTTTATTCATAATTATAGAATCGTTCAGAGCTCCTCGGTTATTACCATGAAATATTTGTGGTAATTTCAAGGCAGCGATCTTCAATCATTCGTCCATTAACAATGCAATTCACTGCGTTGTTCAATTATTGCTGTGAATTGAAAAAACTCAAGTTGTCAGTGCAATTTCCATATTTGCGGAATGAGGAAACCTTGGATTTTCTTCGATTTTTATCTCAAATTTTATGTACAATTGAATCGTAAATCGAATTCAAAGTCAAAAGTTTACAGAACGAATTAATAGTTGGAGTTATCACCAGTTTTTTTTCATACTGCTGCTTAAGAAAAACTAGACACCTGTCATTGTGAAAATATTAAGTGGGACAACTTGAAATATTTAACGACTCACAATTTATATTCAGTTTCAATGAATTCCATCATCCATGTATAAACGAAGTCGGTATACCTACTATAAATAAAAAACTCGATTAAAATTATTTATTATTAGTATTATTATTATTCAAATTAGAGTAATTGAAGTAACTCCTGTCTTCATTTGCACATCAATTCGAAAGTTGAAGCCGCCACTGAAATGTTCACGTTCATTAAATACAGAAAAACTGAATTTTCTAGAATTTGCTTATGATTCTTAAATTTTATGAACCTTAAATTGCAGATTGAAATTAAAATCGAGAGCACATCGAAAGAATTTTATTGGAGACATGAGTAATGGAATAGAGAAAAAATAATGAATAATTTGCATTCGACATTTAGGAAGCGCTCGCAGGTGCAAAATATGGCAATAGTCACCAATAAATTCATATTTTTATTGAAATCTTATTTCACATCTAGATCAAGCGATAAAAATATCGATCTTTCCATCCAATTTTCCAAATAACTCTTAAATTCGAGATTACCACGAGTTTCTAAATCATTATTGACTGCACCGTAAATCTGAGATTCAATAGATCATAAATTCAATTAAAAGTCAGAAATGCTACACCACTTACTTCCACATTTTCAATTCTCATTACAGGAATAAAATCGCTGCTCCAGACTCTGAAGCGTTCGATGCAGTTTCAAATTACCTCCTCACATTACACATATTCACATTAAATCCATATCACATGAGATCCTTTAATGGGGACAATTGACATATAAAAATCATTGAATGAACCTCGAGAAAAACTCATTGGTTGCAAAATTCGCAGCCACAAAGGGTATATCGACTGATTTATGTAATTTTTTTTTTTTAGTATGCGCAGACGTTTAACAGATAGTAGCAATTAGTATAAATACCCAGTCACCTGGTGATGTACAATCCCAACGTCTGAACGTCCGTTAGAGAAGCCGTAGGTGAACATTCAATTTGCAAAAAAGCCATCTGGCTCATCATCGGGAAAGTTCCAATTTGAGAAGCAATTACAAGTGAATTGTGATGAGCTAAGGCAATTAACCAGTAAACCGGAATTGAAATTATTTGCAGGGCAAAATTACAAGCGTTACCTCGAAAATTGGAACAATTTCTCAACGTCAATGATGCTGCTGAAAAAATGAAGAGTTTTCAGTGGATTATTCACGTGTGGTCCTGGGACCGCACGTTATACGGACATTAGTGGATCCAAAAAAATTTAATCATTTTATCGGATTTTAAACAGGAAGAGTCCAACCGCGTAGGAATTACCGGCTCCGCGGTACTCATCACTTGTATCCACAGATGAGGAATTGCTTACATAACACTCAATACAATGCCTGGAATTCCATTGCTAGAATAATCAGTGTTGGAACAGTGGATGCAAGAGAATGAATACAGGGAATCGTGTTGATAATGGAAATACTAATTTTGCTGATAAAAGGACTGGTGATTGCTTCTTCGGGCATGTTTCCCGAAAACATGCGCATTACATCGATTTATCAACTTTTTTGCTAGATACATTAATTACTCCAATGATAATTTTCAATACTCAGTCCATGTTGTTAATTACATCCTAGAACGATATTAATCGATAACGGATAAATTTTGCAATAAAAAAAAAATCCAATTGCCGAACGAGAAAATGGAAAATTTCATTGAAATGTTTTGAATTTTTGGGGATTCCCCCAAGTACAAAATTCACTCTTTCTCTTTTAGTTTTTATATTTTCGTCTCAGGAAATACGTTTTATGGTTTTATTCCAGTAGGACCCCAGAATAACAAGAGGGAAAAAGTCCACGTCGTATGCGTGTTCTTTATTTTTAATCCTATAATCCTGTACAAAGTCAAAAAGACATGAATCATCATTGGGGATGTTATTATTATAAATTATGAAGATAGTCTGCCAGAAAAACAAGCGTAAGCTGAGGAAAATATACGGGAATGAAAGCGATAGTGTCAATAGACTTCTTTGTGTAGTTGAGATTAAAAAGAAAGGGTAATAAATTATCACTACAAATAACTCCTGCAAGCAGTTTCTAAGTGATAGGACCATAATGGCGACAGCGTCACCAAAGATCAACAGACCCGACCTCACCCCCATATTCGGTCATTACTGCTTCATTATCACACCCTAGTTGACAATAAATTAATTAGCCCGACAACAATGTTCATTATTACGTCTGTTCCTCTCGTGAATGTCTCAGAATTGGAAAATAATTGATACACAATTTCGAATGAACGTCAGTTCTATCTGTAAAAATGCAACTCATCGTTTGGAGCAATTAGAAGTCCGTAAAATATGCTCAATTGTTTTTTGATGTCTGTCTCACCTGGAATTAGTACAATAATTAGATTATAATTGGGTAATCACTGAGTGGCAATGGAATGTTTTCCTCAAATAATAAAATATGTAATCTCGAGCATAATTCACAGACAATTGTTACACCAGGTGTGCTTCCTGATGTATTCTTCTATCTCTGTGACAAGTGCCCACCGGATATAAACACTATCCCAACTGATACTCAACACGAGTTTGTTATGTAAAAGTGATATCTGTACTCGTGCATTCATTGTCAAGGCAAGTGGCTTCTTCCGCAGAGTTATTTCTCATTAGTTTATTATGTTTTCCTCAAAAGAAACTAATTACAAATCGATAAAATTAAAGATATATGAGAAATTTGGTTTCTTTGCCAATGAAAATAAAATCCTTAGGGAATTTTTCCCTGATCTATTGGATATTATCCTCAAATTGAGATAAATCTGGCACAGGAACGTGAAATTCACGGATCAATTATCACATGAGGTTCCATCATCCATTAAAAATTCCAAGGTCAATACCATGATTGATTCGACCTCTCCTTGTCCTGAGGCCTATACAAAGTTTTAATAACCACTGAAGATTTTTTCCTCAGGACTAAAAACCGAAGATCCACGATGAGTCATGTCTAGAAGTTTGAGTTTTTTGTTGGAGCAAAAAACCGTTGAGAATCGAGACAATTGAGACAGCAGGCTATCAAGATGCTGCTCCTCAAAAGTTTCTGCCGTAGGATAACAAAGGATTTCCGGATCAAGGAGCTATGGTCCCTCAAACTCATCTTCTTCGTTCAAGCATCGAGTGAATAAAAAAATATCTATTTAACAATAAAAAAAACTCAAATGTCTTCAGTTTCCGGATGGATCTCTTGATAATCATTTCCAATTTCCAGCGCTGTTCGTACTCTATCCGTATCTGACAATTCACATGAGGGAATTGGGAATAAGTGTCGAGGAAACAGCAATAATGAGTGCAGTTACACCCTTTGTAGCAATCGTAATGCCGCCAATCGCTGGTCTAATAGCCGACAGAATAGGCAACTTCAAAGTAAAAAATAATTACCATAGGCATAAAATAATTGCATAAAATGCTAACGAGAAAAGGGAAACTTCACGCTCGATATTTCCTTCCTCAGATCCTGCTCTCTCTCTTTTCATCACTTGGCGGTGCTAGTGCCCTGCTATTACTACTTGTTCCAATCGGTAGGGCTACGGTCAAATACCCGGAACAAGTGGTAATGGATCTAGGCTGTCCAGGAAGCAATGGAGACTTGCTCTTCACAATGAGCCAAATGAGCCATCCCTGTGAGCATCACCACGAGCCCGACATTATGATGAGAATCCAGAGCTGTGGGTGAGTCAGCTTCGAATATTTCCGCTAGATAAATCCTATTTTTTTTTTTTTTTCAAATTATTCAGTGCAATTTTGCATTCGCCAGGTATCTTTGTCGTGTAGATCTGGAGGATGATAACGATCTTCAGACAATGCTGTTCTCGAAGACTTACACTGTCAAGCGTCTGGATTCAGTAAGAAATCACACTGATACTTTTGTTTATCACAGGCCCAATGCCGATCTAGCTCATGTGAGTATTAAAGCAATTTTCGTATCATATTTTTCGTAATTATAGGTTCTAAACAATTTCACTTTTTTTCTCCTCGGGATTCTCACTCTGTCCCATATTTTTTCATATTAAATTGCGTTGAATAGAATGCCAATTACCGAAACTGCACGGTCCCGCAAATTTCAGGCATCAGATGATCACGAGTACACGAAAGAGCACAGACTGCTGAGAAACAATGAGCACTACAAAACGTCAATTCGTCAGCTATCGCAGAGTGGATTTTTCTTTCCAACTCAACGACTCTACAAGTTCACCTGTTCGGAAACTCCTGGAGCAATTGATTCATCAAATTCAACGACTCGCCTCTCAGAAACTGGGGAAAAGTCGTTCAATCAAACTCGGTGCGAGTTCAATGAAATTTTCTCGCAAGTGTGTTTAATAAGCCAATCAGTCCCCTCCATTCCTCTCATCCCCCTCGATTCAACTGGAAATTCATCTTTCAGACTCCAGAGGAACAGAAAGAGGAGTTCCTGACGTTCAAATCCAGAATAACGCTCCTAAATACATCGAGCATGGATGAGTCCGAGAGAAGAAGGAGATATTTAGGAGAAGCAATGACACTAACGAGAGATAGCCCCGTAAAATGCGGAAACACCGATGAGCGAAATCGCGTGACCATCACAGTTCCCCTAGTTAATTGGACGTCAAACGCAGATCCTTACAAATCTCTGATTCTCCAGGAATGCAGCGAGAGGTGCATTGTCACTGCACCGAGAAAGGCGTTGTGCTCAAACATGAACACTGTGATAGAGTACAACACTCAGCTGACATTTTGGTTGTACCTGGGAATAAGAGTCTTCATGGGTAATTACAATCTCAAATAAAATCGCACAATAGAGAATATTTAAAGTCCAATAATGCCCATCCGCAGGAATAATCAGTGGGACAGCATTCGCAATGTTCGAAGGAGCTGTTATAGCAATAGTACGAGAGCAAAAGGCAGATTACGGCCTCCAGAGAATATACGGAAGCATCGGAGGAATGATATCCTCACCCCTATCAGGACTATTAATCGATTACGCAAGTCAGGGTAAAGAGTACACAGACTTCAGGTGCGATAATTCACTTCTTTAATCTCCCCTGACAATCAGAATACGTCATAATATCTCATTCCAGACCTGCATTCTATTTATACTCAGCCCTGAAGATAATCTCGGGTGGACTGATGCTGATGATAAATCTTGAGTTCAAGTCACCGTCTCCCAATGTCGTACGCCACGTTATCACTGTACTTAAGAACGTGGAAATCATTGCTCTCCTCGTTGCTGTTTTCATACTGGGTCAGTGCTACCAGATCAATATTAAAACTTCTTCCCTGATTGACATTCAATATGAACCCCAGAGAATTAGTAGTCTGTCCCCGATGATGAACAAATACAGATGTATGACGCAAACGGAAGTGTCATTGCTCGACCGGAAACAGTCAATTCGGCTAGAGAATTTCGATATTATCATTGGACAATTGTTCAATAATCCTCCGAATCTCCTTTGTCTCCTACAAATAAATAAATAAACTTGAACCAGGAAGAAGGAGAATGAACGACTGGAGATTTTACTCGATGCATTGTTTGTTCTTCAGGCATCGCCTGGGGCTACCTAGAGTCCTTCCTATTCTGGCTGATACAGGACCTGGGAGGTTCAAGGTCATTGATGGGTATCACCATAACAGTCGGCGGAATAGCTGGAATTCCACTTCTTGTACTGTCCGGACCGATAATCAATAAGATCGGCCATGCCAACGTACTCTTCATTGGTTTTGTGTTTAATTCCATCAGACTACTGGGTAAGGCAATTTATCTCTCATCTCATTGATATTCATCATCCACCAGTTTGAAGAAGAAAAAAAAAACGTGAATTCCCCTTGCATAATCGGACAATACTTGCACAATGAAATTGAACGTGGAGAAATAAATCGTGTGCATATATTTTTTGCACAATGGCTGATGTTACCGTTAGTGACCAGTGCTATCTGCTTGATCTTCAATTCGTATTTTCCACGCACAGGCTATTCGCTGATTTACAATCCCTGGCTCTGCCTCATCTTCGAGGCTATGGAATCCGTGACGTCCTCGCTCGCCTTCACAGCCGCCATAACATACGCTGCTAAACTCTCCACCACAGCCACTGATACGTCGATCCAAGGTCTCCTAGGCGGTCTTTATTACGGAGTTGGTGAGTTTAATTCCTCAATTTATTACCGACCAATGTGCATCATCCTGCTGTTAATGTCTACTTTGATATTTAATTGTCATGGCTACACTAAATCTTACCAATTGTATTTTACGACCGCCATTCAATCCTTTTTGCTCCCGAATTAAAGCATTGTAATTGCAAGGACTTACATTTTCCATTTTGTGGGTTCAAATAGCTGAATTCGACGTGAATTATTTCAGACTAAAAAGTCAAAGAGGAAAATTCAGTATAAGAACCGTAGATATATTAAAAAAAATTTCTTTCGCAACTTATTCCTTATCTTTTGTACTGCTTATCACTAGAACAAAAAATTAATTTCGAATAGAATTACTAATATCTTGTTGTTTTTCGGAAAATTAGGTAAAGGTGCTGGAAGCTTGATAGGTGGATACCTGATGACCGCCTTTGGTACACGACCGACATACCAAATTTTCGCAGTTGTCTGCTTGATAACCGGATTAATTTACTTCTTCTTCAATCTGTTTTATCTGAAAAAACGTCCCCAGGTGGAGGGTAACGACATAGTGAAAAAAAAGCCTAAAGTCCAGGGACAACTAGCAGATGTAATAGATACCACTGATAAAAATGAGGCGAAGATGATGGAAGCTATGGAGGGAATAGAGAACTTAGCGTTCACCGATGAATTCCCGATGGTGAATCTAAATGAACCGCCGAGTGCTAAAGCCCTGGAAACAGCCAATAATGCTAAGAATCTCGATAACATAGAGAGAATGCCGGAAGAGAATAAATCGAGAGCAAGAACTGTGAATTCGGTGGATGGTAATCGTAAAGTAGGAGTGACGAATGGGGGTTTCGAGAGGGAGACGAATGGTGAAGTCAATGTTGTTGGAGAAAAAGGAGCATGTGGAGAGGGACAGTAAATGAGGGGTTGTTAGTCTATGCAAACGTGCTCATTCGTCACTCTTCGGTCACTGGAATCACTCTGGACAGTTAATGTTACCTCGAACGACTGTACCATGTACTCATTTTGTTTCAGTGTAAAAATTATTGCAATTCCGAGGAATTTTTTGGAAGGATTTATAGTTTCTCGTCAATTTTATGCTCATACTTGAGAGGTCCATTCCATAATATCCGTTTGAGTTTCTAATGGATGCTTCAGTGTATATAAATGTTAATTTACGGTAAATTTTAACAAATTGATTGCATTATTTTTAAGAACTCTCTCACCACTCGTGCATGACTCGTAATGTTTTTTAAGTGAGAAAAAACCAACATGAAATTCATGTTTATGCTCTTTATATTACCACTCATCTGTGTTATCTTATGCGTACGATGTAGAATTGTAAATTTGTTAATGCAATGTAAATACTGTGAAATTTATAACAGTTATAGGTTTCGGTTACAATAAATGAATTGTTATGGAGTGTTTTCGCGTTGTTCTCTTGGGACGGTGTGTTCATTCTTGTTTGGAGTATTATGGTAACCGTATCTCACGAGGTGAACTCTCGTAACGGTGTGGAGCAGTTTACAAACTGAATTAGTGGTATTTTATGGGTAATCGTTATCATTTAGCGCCTTCGGTGAGGCAGCGAATGTATTGTCTCTATTTTCCTTCATTGGGGATTATTATTCGCAAACTGTTGCACTCCTCATGATAATTATCTCCGCTCTTCGATAATGTCGATACCCTTCGAATTGATCATTAGTTTTTGATTGATTTGGGTATGGATGATGCTTGAGGAGGAAGAAAATGACAATTTTACATGGTCAAATCTGTATCGACGAACCCATCGGGCAATACAGTTACGAGTCTATATATTCCACCCCGAGCATCGTTGACGTACCACTCATCCATGACGAGCAACGATGATGATGTTCTGGCGTCTATTACTACTTCACGCTCCAGTGATTCTCGTGATCCTCACGCCAATAAATACAACGGGAATACCTGAGATTGCGTCATACGCCAAAGTATCAAGAAGTGGTGTGAAAAGTTGGAATCCACCGATAACCAGGTACTTATCTCTCAACGTATCTTTCCAAAACTTCGAATAACTGATTCTAAATCCTCCAGTGGAGAAGTTGAAAGTGAAGGACGGAATTACCAGGCTTCCCCGGTTTATGTTCCCGCCAAGAGCCCGAAACTTCGGAATGGAGAGGCCCAGGAGTTCACACAGAGTCAACAGTAAAGTTGTTAGACTGAGAGAAAAAGCTACCTAATATCGCTAAAGTCATTTCTTGCGGGCATTCCGAGGCGAAGTGGCCAGAGAAAAGGAACGGCATCATCTTCTTCTTTCCAACTTTCATTGTAAAAGAGTATTCCCATTATCCGTTTGGAAGAAAAACAATCAATGTTTCATTGAATGTCGCACTACCCCATCGTAAAAAAAGTTTCACTAAATATCGATTCATCACTATTTTCTCTTCCCAAGAAATAATTTTTGTGGTGTTAACTGGCTCATTTACTCGCATACCTTCAGCTGACTAATTAATTCGATTCAAAGGTACTCCACACTCGATAAGAATGTACTGGCGAATCTCGACCAGAGGAAGCTGAAGAAACACGCGCAAGAGAGATTCCACCCACCAGCTCCCTTCGAGCACGCAATATCTCACTCGAATAAAATAAAGTACCAGGCAGATAGCCCCCCCGATTCCCATGATTTTCCAGTATCTCCAGGTGCTCCAGCATCCCCACCAAATGGCTATGCAACTCTCCCCAAGGATTTGTACTCCTACGAGTACCCGGCAGCATCGAAGCCCTCGAAGGATACATTGCCATCGATCACGATCGATGACTACTCACCAAACGATTACAATCCAAAGGTGAAGTATCACAAGATCTAGTCCCGATATAAGTTGGTTTACCATCACTCGTGATAGCATCTCCAATTATTCCAGCCAGTGGATTCATACCCACCATCACAAGTCTCGCATTCAGCGCAACAGGTGCCCAGCTATCTCGAGAAATATCCAGATAAACCTGATTACCCTGGGCCTGAGCCATTCGATGACACATCCTACGCACACGAGCACGATTACCCCCATGAGATAATCTACGATCATCCGCCGGATCACTACCACCACGATTATACAACGACAACCACTGAGGAACCAGAAATGAACGATCAGCGATTGAACAAACGGCCTTATTCTTATTACTACATTGGCAAGAAACTCTGGTATTTGCCCCTTTATTTCAGCATTTATTTTATTATTTATATTGCTGCGTTGGTCCTCAAGAGTATCGCTAGGCACAAAATCAATTTCCCACAACAACTGGCAGAGGCTGCTGGAGCTAGGCACCTGGGGCAACATGAAACACTTGGATGGATGGATCTCACCCAGAGGGTCTTAAATGGGATCGATTCATTCGCTAGTGGAATTTATAGTAAAAATGGACCCGCGAAGAATTAAAGATTGAATAATGAGAATAAAATTTTGAAAAAGCACCTTTTTTTCATTCTTAAGAATTCAAAAATTTGTTGAAAATTCACAAGGATATGAGGGAATGAGACTGTGCTGCTGCACTTGATGTACCGTGATATTATTTGATTATAACTGCAATAAAATTTTATATTTAAACTTGAGTTGTTTACTTTTCTTGGAGAATTATTGGTTTAAGATGTTAAATGAACAAGCTGTTTGGTCAAGTAATTTCGGAATCTTTGGAGCCTTAAAATCAAACTGTTTGCCGACAGACAAAACCAGTTACCACCACTTCCACTTGAATCTTTGGTAGATTACTTCCTAGAAGAGCATTACAGACGGAATTCAAGAAGAGGCGCAAGTAATGTCAATGTTTTTAAATCATAGAATATTATTCTTTACAGCCTCCACGCCGTCATTTTTCTCGATTCAGAGCTAAATTTCTTTTAATCATTTACTGAGTTTGAAATTTCCTTTTTGCATTCATCAATGAATTATATCACGTTTCGACAATCGAAATGATCTCGTATATGACATTTTAGGAAGTAGATGTGCGCGTACGCAAACGGTACAAAGTACTTCCATTGGTCCTTCACCCGAGCTTCCAATGAACTCGAAAGATTTAATTAGGATAGTTATCAAGTGACATGAGTTTACTTAACGTTTTCAGTGCTACAGTTACAATACCAAGTTCAGTTGAACGATGATCATCAGTCACTCATCTAGTTGGTTGTAGAGTAATATCACAAATCCCAAGTAATCACTCAAAAAATTTTACAACGTTTATACCGATAACATCGCGAAGTATTTAGTTCATCATTTATCGTGGGTTTTCGATGATTCGTGTTGTAATACTCGTAATGACTCTAATGAAAAGTGAATATCAATCTACTGCCATACGTTTAGTAGAAAATTCAGGGAAATGTGCGAAATAGACATATTCAGCAAGAGCAGTTGAAACGTGTTAAAGGATTGGAGATAAGGAACAGATTCTAGAGATTCGAAGTGTAATTGATGAATGAAGTATGGAAACTCTTGTCTTGAAAGTCATAATCGGTATTCTCGTCATGTTTCTCTGCACATGGATAAATGCGGCGAGTCTGGACATGAAGAATAATGACAATGATGGATCAATCACAACTGAGAGGACAGCAGTCGCCACAACCCCGCGATCTTTCAGGTTTGTCATAGTTTTCATAGCAAATAAAATTTTCTAGGGAAAAAAATGATTTTAATGAGTAGGTTATCGAGGGCATATCGACGAGGACACGACGTCGACGGTCATGATGATCATGATGATGACCATGACCATTCGGAAGAAAATGACGAAATGCAGGACTCGAAATCAATAGCCAAGAGCGAGTACTGGGGTGGTTACTACGATTTCTTGATAAACGAGGGTAGCTACAAATTCTGGGCTGTCTTCCAGGCAAGTATAAAAATAAAAAACATAAATACTCCAACAAACTGTTGTACAATTCTTTGGAACTATTCGAGAATTTCTTCAAGATTTGAAATCAATTTGCAACCAGTTCTCTGAATTTATGATTAATTCCACAATTAACGAACCGTGAACTGTCGAAAAATGATTGATCCAACGGATATGGAAGGCAAAACGGAAAAGTGAATTGGCACTCACCACTTGAGCGTACCGTAACAAAAGTTTAATACGTTTTGATCAACAGCTTGCCACTGCTGCACTTCTCATCTACAGTGGATTCGCTGCCCTCTATTACGCCAAGGTAAATCCATCTATCACGGACGACTACGATGATTATTTTCTCCGACGACGAAGAAGACGACGTGACACAACTACACCGTTATTTTTTGGTATGGACATTGCCACATTCCAACGAATAATGGACGCACTGGAGATGAGAAATAATGATTTAATGTAATTAACAATTATCAAATAATTGACATTGAGTTATGACTTTTTGTCAGTATTATTCGCTGTACCCCCCTCTCCGAAAATCCCCCCCAACTATTAAAATTCATGTGTGAGAAGAAGAATTCCACAGCAAGGATATAACGATTTCATCTGATTTATAGCATAATCAAGTGAAATAAAAACCCCATTGAATTATACCCTATGAAAATTTTAAGAATGTAACCCACGTTGTGATATTTTGACATATGAAACGGCTAAAAATTGAATTAATCACCCCAACATTCACGAGAGAATGCACTGATTATGCTCTGCACAGTCCAAAGGAGGATGCAAGTAAAACGCATGAGGAATAAATAAATAAGAAATGACAACAAAGCCAGTGCGCACAGGGTGCAAAACCCCCTTCTGTGCGCATGGGATACCCTTCGGGGTGCATTTCGGGGGACTTGAATCGTCGTCGGTCTGTTGAATATTCCTTGGATTAAAACGTAATAAAAGTCTCGCGAAAAAATGTTGACCGATAAATCAATGTACGATACGCGGCCCTCTCTCTATCTCTTGTCCCCTCACTCCCTCACTCCCTCATCACCTCACCCTTCTCATTCCTCTCTCTGCAATCCACTGCTTAGAGGCAAATTTTCTTCTCCAAGAGAGACGACTGGAGGAACTTGATGATTGAGAAACAGAGATGACTGTCCCGGCGGCATCGGTCCATCGTCTCCTGGACAAAATTCTGCACAGGCGTAGTCGCTGCTCTTAATTTCACCGTCGGCTAATCTCCAATCGCCCATCTGCCCGCACATAACACGTCATGTCCAAATCAAAGGTCTTTAAATCTCGAGGCAGAGGAAGAAATACGGGCGTTAAAATTCGCTGAAACGATGCAATCGGTAATCCGGAAAGGATCGAATTACGGACGTCATGGGGTTATTTCAGTAAGTGATTTTGGTTTTATTTGGAGATATTTTCGGAGTGGGAGTGGGGCAATCGTCATAGCTGAATTTTTCAGCCCTACGATGTGGGTTGAAGTAAGGCCTCGGAGCGCTTTCTCGTACAGAAAAAATGATTTATACCTTGATTTTCAAGTTAATTGCCAACTCAGTATTTTATTGACCGTGCCGATCCCTGCTTGATTTTCGGCGCTAGAATATCTTCTAAGATCTTGAAGCAACATGTCGGAGAGCTCTTGTTCGAATATAAAAAATTATTTACAACTTTGTTCTCGAGTTAATTGCCAAGTCGGTGTTTTATTAACCCCGGAGTTCCTCTCCGTGGCATTTTTCGCCCTAGAATGTGTTAGAGCATCTGTCTAATTTATTGGCAAAAAAAATCTATATCAATCATCATCCCGAGACATCAGCCACTCATTTTGGGCGGAGAATTGCTCGCATTATTGATTGAATAAATTGATAACTGCGAGTACTCATTAAATTCGATCATTACCGGTGATTAGCATATGTCCGTCGTCGAGATGGAGGGAGATCGATTGAAATTTGATGGAATAAAATTTACATGGGAGTAAAAAGGGAAAATTTCGCAGAGTCGAGGGATTTATCGAGGGATTTATCGAAGGATCTTCGACCCTACGCCCCTGCGAAAAATAAAGGGACATTCCCCCACGTACGCATTTTGCTTGGGCCGGTCGTCAAGTTTACCGTGTTCTCAATACCCGCATCACTTGGCTCCCGTAGGCTATGGCGAGATGCTCCATCTTGAACGATTTAAAAAATTTCGAGATAAATTTTAAGTAGAAGGGCACTGGGGGTCGGGATAAGTAGAGCCTGGTGTGCGCTTGGACAAACCTGATTCTGGGGATGCCACTGGCTTCACTTCAGGCTTCCTATCCTGACTCTTCCGATGCTGCATGAAGTACTTCAATAAAAACACGAGGAATTTTTGCGATCGCCACTGAGAGTCTCTTCACGTGATCGTTAATGTACATTTTTAAGGACTTCCAAGGAAAATTAAGAGATATGAGCTAATGTAGATTTTGTAACGAGGACAGCAAATCCAACGCCTCACTTGGCTTCATTAAATAAAATTCAATCAATACTCGAGTCTGATCACCGGATCGAGTAATCCCAAGTGATCGTTGACAGTGCTCAGGTGAATATAAAGAGGGGGAGAAATTGATGAAACAAAGGGAACGGCAATGACGGCACCTAAATAACAAACGAAAAGAATAGTAGGGAGGAGGAGATGGTTGGCTTGCGCATCCTGACGACGAGAGCAAAAGTGGTTGGCCATTATGATGGGAAAAACGGTGGAATGCAACGTGGAATTCGCGTCAGTCGCGTTCTCCTGGTGAGCATCACCAACACCACCATCATCAGTCGGCAAAACGCTTAGAACCTTGGGAGGCTGAATAAAGCGGGAACGTGAAACGGGACAACGAGAGCAAACGTATTTCAAACGGGATAAGGCGGTGGAAGAACACTGGTTCAAGAGTGACGGCTGGTGAAGGGGGAAAAGAGAGTCAGCATTGGATGAAGAAAGGGAAAGGGGCAAGAGACTCGGACTCGTCAAGAAGTGGAAAAAAACTATTATCACAATTTAAACAAGCTATTAACCATTTTTTTTCCCAACTTCCAACGAAATCTTTGAGGTTTGTCAGAGTTTCTTCTGAAAAAATATGCCACTTCCTCCCTCCATCACTCGAAATTTCGACAATTCGAGGGGAGCTCGTGCTCAACACATGAGAATGTTGAAGAACACTACAAAGACCGCCCGCATCTCCAGGATTTTTCAGCGGAACTAATTATGATTTAATTGCCATTATCAGATATCACCCCAAATGGATTGCATCGACAGTGGATTCGACATTTGCCGTCGTAATTGGACATTTTTGCGTCATTTTCATTCATTCCTTCAATTTCTCGAGCACTGGAACCCCGTGGGTACGTGATTTTATTTAATTGTCCGTGAATCTTTTCACGTATTGAATTGGATTTTTCTCGGGTCTTAGTTTAGCCATTCCTAGATTCTCCTGATCTCCACGAATACGTAATGGCTTGAGGTAGGAAGAGGAAAAAAGGATGAATTCTCCGGTGGAAACGTGGGAAAAACACACAGTGCTGAGGCAAGTGAATAATCTTATCTCAAAAAGGGCTCTCTCAAACGTTCGCTTTGTTTCCGTCTTCCAACCTAGCCACTGCGCTTATTTATCCTCCGGCCCAATGTATGTTTACCCCTTTAGCCAATGTACACATTACAGTGGAGTACTTTGTCAAGTAACAATAGGAATATTTTGATAATTCTTTCATTCTCAAAAAAGTCGTTGACAAAATTTACGTGGTACTCAAGCTGCCTCATAATTAACTCTAGACAAAATAGTGTTGTCACAGTTGGCAACTTGTTTACTCACTCTTACACATTCCTCGGCACAAGTTTCATTTGTCAGTGGGTGCTGGCCATCTCCAATGCTACCACAGACTTCCACGACTTGTACGACTTCCATTAACACTCGGCATGGACTTATACGCGTGTAAAACTTATTAATACACTGGCTCTGGAGCCTCTGGAGTTGGCATGAGATGACAGTGATGCAAGGAATCCTCTCTCTCTATTCGACATACACTTGAACGACTTCAACTCGTCTTCTCCTCGGAATGCTTTATGATTTATGAATATCCCACAAACGGTACAGTTTCGAGGGTGAAACAAATTCAGGGGGTTTATTATTTTTTGTCGCATTGTTTCTCTCTTTCTCTTTGCGGATGAGACAAATCAATTTGATCAATATGCCAAGTGAGTAGAAATAGCATCCAAATTTTTTCATTCAATTAAAAATAATATCTCAGGCTATGGATTACTACTCGTGCGTCGTTAACGGAGAGTCCGAGTTCAAGGACTTACATTCAGGTTAATTTCCGGGTTGTTGGTTTATGAGTCGGTAAGATGAGAACACTCACCTCGTTCGTACACATGCTCTTCATCACCTTTTGAATTGTCATGCTTAATATAAAATGAACAATAAAGTATCATTTTTTTGTCGGTTATTATTCTTTGAAGCGTTAGTTCCGCCATTATTCGAGTCATCTCCACTCCTCAACAATTGAATCATAATGTTTCTCTGATTAAACCACCAACAATAATAAAAACCCCATGAATAACACAAGTCCCATATTTTGTTTGATCATCAGTTTATCGTCAACGGAATTCCTGGCAATTCAATACACCAGGTGTTTGACGCAGCCACGAGTTTGACATGCGAATTTAAGGATATTCCACACGTTTTTTGAATTTTTTGGCGAATTATCGATGGGGTCGATGTGAAAAAATATAACGTTTTTGTGTTTTGTCATTATTTAATGGCTCATAAAGGTTTATGGTGATGCGATCATTTTCATGTATTATCTCTACAGTTTTGTGATTCTTTTTAAAAGTTTCGAAAAAACAGAGAAATTCAAGGACGAAATTCTAAACGATTAATTACAGGAGGATTTGGCTATTCATTATGGAGTTTTACCCTGGCTTGCCAGGACTAGATTGCAAACGTTAATTGCCTCGTTATTCTATAAGTCTGAAGCCTCTACCCCGGGATTTACGATTTACAATGAATCAGATGTACGGAGGGCGGGGGTGTACTCTCGTGTGATTTTCTCGTGTGGACTGTAACGGCCTCCAGGTAAGTACAGCAAGGTTTACTTCTCACAGCCTGGGGTCTGTCTCACTGATACTGATGATTTCTAGGGGCCAGCATTCGATCGAACGATACGTGCCGGTAGTACGTAGTCGTCGGGGCCTCTGGTGCTGCCTCATAATTGTCCATCATTGTTCAGGAAACAACTATTATATTCTGGTTCTGCTTTAATTCAAGGAATTATTTTGTTATGATGGAATTTCTATTGTACCTCCACGTCATCGTGGTGAGTTGATGGTAAATGCATAACGGCTTTTTTTATGAATATATCTCTATTGTCAAGAAGAACATGTCGGGTCACTAGAACATTCCTCAAATACGAGAAATTATCGTACTCGTTTTTTCAATGGACACGGAAATTCATAGTTCCCACGGATTGTCCCTTTAAAAAAAAAGGTAACGTTTTTGGTCAGCTTTTTGCGGTGCATACGTCCTCGAATTTTCATGCTCCCCTGATACTTTTCGAAAAATTTCGAATTTTTCGATTTCAGTGAATAACTCCTCGATTTTCATGCTCCCCTGATACTTTTCGA